CAGCATTATTACTCCAGTCTTCAGTGACACATGATCCTTCAGAAATCATTCTAATATGATGAATTAATGCTCAAGAAACATGTCTTACTATTATCAGTAATGAAAACCGTTGTGCTGCTTAATGTTTTTGTGGAAAGTTATACTTTTTCTGAGATTCTTTGATCACTAGAAAGCATTTATTTGAAATATAAATCTTTTGTAACATTATAAATGCCTTTACTGTAATGTTTGATCAATTTCATGCAACTTTGCTGAATCAAATATTATTAATAAAAATTGTACTGACCTAAACTTTTGAATTGTATCGTACATATGGTTTGTAAAAAGATTATTTAAATTAATAGAACCGAAACAAATACATTTTGTAACATTCAATTCATGGCAAAAAATATATAAAAATACAGTTTCTGCAAGTAAAAGCTGTTTATTTGTAGACTGGGATAATAGCATGGCTGGAGTAGCACTACAGGGGCATCAGAACTACAAATGACATGCCTGTCAACTCAAGTTATGTCACAACCAGCTGCAATGGACTTCTCCACTGCAGACAGCATCATTGATTATAATGAGAGCAATTTAGTTTATCAAGTGGAGCCGATCATGTCCGCTGTAGATGCTGTTACAGTTTAACCTCTTGGCTAATTGGAGGGTCAGGATGAAGAGGTGGAGGTTTGAGATAGCTGAACTGCCATGCTCCAATGGGATATCCCAAATTGCCCCTTCTCAACAGGAGGCTTAAAAGGATTGACAGTTTGCAGGCCACAGCATTACCCGAAGCTGAAGGGATGCGTTAAGGCCGAGGCAGTAAGAAGGCTTGAGGAAGTGTCACGGGTTACAGAGCCGTGTGAGCGCTCGAATCCACATAGAGTATTGCAAAGTGTGCTGGGCAGAGGGTGAGAAAATGTGTAAAGATATGAGTGAGGGCAACTTTACAGTGTATTCAGTTCACTCTTAAACAATGAGTTTAATCTCTTCCTGTCGGGCACTGTGAAAAATAATGCTTGGTGCATCTTTGTAAGCCTCTTGTGTGTGCACTGTTATCCGTCTAAGTGTACTGAATGAATGAATTAATGAAGTATCTGGTTCTCCCTGTCTCTTACTGCTCTTTTAAATTTCTTCCTCTTGCCAGCTCGGTTCCACTCATTTTAATGCAGTTGTTAACAGCTTGCGGTGGAGCGGTTTGTGTGGCTTTGGTGTCAGTACGCTCACAGGCTGGTGGGTAGCGTCGGACCCGACGAATGAAGGATCGCAGACACAGTCAAATCCCTCTGATGCAAAGTAGTGAATGAGACCTGCTTTCCCTTTACTACTACACTTCTTTCTCTCTCTCTCTCTCTCTCTCTCACTCTCACTCTATCACTCTCACCTGAGCATGTGTCATTGGACGGTTGCCCACAGTGAACACGATGAGCTTGTGATTGGTTTAAAGGATTTGAGCAAATTTTAGAATGGTGCAGAAAGACTTTGGACTTCATAGGCAGCAAGGCAATGGATTTATCAAAATATTGTACAATAATCATATTAAAAATGCTCCAATAGGGGCAAGTTAATGTTAATGTTAAAGAAATTGGAAGCTGAAATTATCGTATTTTTTCCATTTCATACAGCATACGTTGTTTTTCTTTTCCATTTGGTTATAGAAATACCTTAACAATAGAGTTATCAATGTCTTTTCCATTGCGTAAAGGCAATAGTGTAAAATCTCATATATACTGTGTGTGTGAAGGAAGCATTAATTTGATCAAAAGGGACAGCAAAAGATACAAAAGTTACAAAAGATTACTATTTCAAATAAATGCTGTTCTTTTGAATTCATCAAATTATGTGAGAAAAAAACAAAATATTAAACGGCATATATGAACTGTTTTCAACATTGATAATAGTAAGAAAGTTTCTTGAGCACCTAATTAGCATTAGAATAATTTTTTTCTGAAAGACTGGCATAATGGCTGCTGAAATTCAGCTTTACCATCACATAAATAAAGCATTTTTAAATTAATTTAAATAATACATGTTTTAAATAGAACACATCATTTTAAATTGTAATATTTCACAGTATCACAGTTTTTACTGCATTTTCAATCAAATAAACAAGAGATATAAGAGACTTCCACCAAACTTGTTAACGGTAGTCTATGTATACTTTGTGTTAGACAGAAAAATAATAGTATACAGGGTTTGATATTTGGCATAATGGTGAGTATAATAATGGCATTTTCATTTTGGGGTGAACTATTCATTTTATTTCCCATCTCCTATTTTCTGGTATTCAATCTAAAAACAGTTTATGAGGTGTTTTGCTGTTTGTGTTTGTAACTGATTGTTCTCTTCTCATTGCAGGTTTTGGACAGCCTATTAGCACAGTATGGTACTGTAGAAAATGTGGAACAAGGTAAATGAGTTGCCATTGTCTAAAGTGATTATACTTACATGTATAGTATACTAAGTTTTTTTTTTTTTTTCTGTTTGCATAGCATGCTAAATTCCATCTAAAAAATTTCAAATCCTTTTGTAATCAACATGTTTGCAGTTTATATCAGGTGGATGCTGAATCACATTCATATTTACGGTATAAGTGAATTACCTATTTATGGACCCATTCTTTTCTGTTGGGGACTTTGCCTTACAGCACATGTGCTGATGTAGTGTGGATGAGTCTAAATTGCTAACAGATTGTGGACTACAGAGACAATGTGTGCATTTAGATCACACGTTATCCAAACTTAAATCACATCAACACATGCTACCAGTGGAGACGTCTCAGTTTTGATGTTCTGTAATTGTCTTTCCCAAATGAGAGAGAGCGTGGGAGGGAGGCACACAGGCAGGGCGCCTGCGACTGAGTGTGAATGAGAGGAAATCACAGACAGAGGGATGAACTCCGCTCTGGCTGACATGAGCAGCGTGATGGAGTGGAAGTGTGTGGATTGAAGTGGGACAGTGGCGAGGCTCCAGCTGTAACGTGTGTAGGGAGGTAGGCGCCTGCGGTCTCTTTCTCACTCACAGCTGAGACGGATTGCGTGTATACCTGGTATTAACGTGTGTCTCCTGCGATTACTTGAGATTTGATAGAAGGGTCTTTGATTTAGTGACTAAAAATGATTTTATCCGTGTGTTAAATTAATGTTGTTACAGTGGTGCTTGACATGACCCGCCATTGTATGTTGATATCAGACCCAAACAGCTGTTCATAATCCAGACAAAGACACTCTCATCTTAGTAAACGTGTTAGTGATATCCAGAATGTGAATGAGTCAACAATAAAGGAAAAAGTAAAAAAAAAATTGTTGTGTAAAACGCATATGCAGAGTTCCTAGAAATGTATTTATGTTGGTTTCATATAGTTTTGAAAAAACTTTTTTTTTTTCTTTTTTTTTGCTATTTCCAAGACAAGTTTACTTTTAAGTGTTTATATGACTTTAAAACTGTTATGTGGTTTAACAATCAATTAAAAATCTTACAACACCTTGAATATATGTGACCAGGGCCTAAAACTAACTTTTTGCCAGAAAAGACCTGCCAATGGTCGGTGACTTAAGGAAATTTACCGGCCAGAAATATTTTTTACCAGCCATGGAAAAAAAAAAACAGGCAGTTATGACACCAGCATTTTATATAATAGACAAAAAAGTCACAAAACTTGATTCCAATTTCAATACTGCTAAAACTACTAGCTTAACCAATAAAAATTTAATAGGCTACATTTTTAAAGACTAGTAAATAGTCAGTTGTAAAATAAGAGCAAATCAAATTACAAGCAATAGCACAAAATAGCCAACAAAGATGCAAATAGAAATGGTGCATTTCAGGCAGGTCTAACAGTGATTTTCAGGTAGCCTACAGAAATGTAATAAATTATGCTAATCAAATAACACTATAGTCTTTATATCTTTTTTTAAAGTTCAAGAGCAGTGAGTGATTGTTTTTTTTCTTTGTCCTGTTTTCTTTGATCAGCATTAAAAACGCAGACAACAGCAGGATTATTGGAATTCTGTGTCTATCACTTTAACACCGTGTCTACACCACGGCAGCTTGAAGTTGTCAACACTGGATGCGACAAAACGGCCGTTGCTTGGACTATTTCAGAAATATAACGGGGAATCCGTTTACTTTCGGCAATTTGTCGTGTAAACTGAAAATATAAAAATAAAACCCAATTCAAAATATGAATAAATACTATAATAGTATTAAAAAATGCTAAAGTAACAGTACCCTGTGCTGATACTAGGGCTGCAAAATGATTCATCACTATTAATCGCATTCAAAATAAACGTTTATGTTTACATACTATATGTGTGTGCACTGTGCATATTTATTAAGTATATATAAATACACACACATATGTATATATTAAAAAAATATATATATATAGTATATATTTTACTTGTATAATTTATATTCTGTATAAATATAATTTATATATAAATCCAACATATTTTTCATTAATATATACATGTGTGTGTGTGTGTGTGTGTGTATTTATATATACATAATAAATATACACAGTACACACACATATAGAATGTGAACATAAGCTATTATTTTAAATGCGATTAATCGCGATTAATCGTTTTGCAGCCCTAGCTGATACTAAAGTAAAAGGAAATGTGTTGTTCATCATAATCATAAATTATGATGACATCAGTTAAGTCCATTAAAATAAATCAAAGATAACTGATATCTTTAAAGATACTGACAACTGCATCTCTTTTTATGTAATAATTTGTTCAGTGTCTAAAGTGAATTCTTTACATATTGGTAAATGTCATTCTCTTTTTCATAACAAGATTGCCCATATTTTCATTGTTTCAAAACAATGCTCACACTGTATTTCAGGGACAGTGTAACCCTCACAAAAACAGGTTTACAACAAACTGGACAACATACGAGTTTATGTGGTACATGATGTGAGACATCATTCATTTGGCACGGAAGACACGGCCAACACTGAATACTTAAAACATTGCTTGTCAGCTGGAGGTGTTACTCCATGTGACTTTTCAGAGCTGAGAGGTAAAGTGTTCTTGAGTGAACACCTTTCCAGCGTCAGTCACAGTCATGAGCTCATCTGTATGACGTGCAACAGAGAACTGAACAGAGTATAACAAGAACTGTTCAAGTTATTTATGATGGATAAATAATTTGAATTAATTTCAATAATTTTACATCTACTGTTATGGCAGACTGCATTCGTGCACCAGGTGTTTTTGTTTGTTATTTTGTTGTTCATGGCGATAAATGAGTAGCACCTATGGGTGTGTTTGTGTGTGATCTCACCTCCTCCCCTGAGGCGAAATTCTCATGGCAGAGAGGACAGTGATTACAATTACCTCCAGAAGTTGGTGCTGACAAAAGAACAAGAGAATAAATCCATCACCAGGAAACACTGTTTTTACTTTTTCCCAAACAAAAAATGTAGAAAATTCTCTACTTATAGAAATAACACAATAAATCTGCAGGTGTGAAAGGTCATTTCTAGTGACACAGTGTGAACTTCATATGGATAAACAGGTCTGATGATAGAGTGGGCAGTCTTGTCTTATTTTTAGGTATAATAAGAGTGTGGCACAAAGGGACCAAAATGAACACTTGCCAAGCACCAAATGCAAGTAAAAGCAAGTAAAAAGGTTGCAGTTACTAATCTGTGATATTATTTGGAAACTGGAAGATAATACAAATGTTTACGCCATTTATTGGACAGGAATGTTTTTTTTTTCTTAAGAAATTCATGTGGTGACATGGAATATAAAATACTCCTCTCATTAACTTGATGTGGGAACACACATGCTTTTAATATTTTCAGTCTTTATTCTTCTTATACTGTGCAACATATAATCCTAGTTTTATATGCAAGGCTGAACTACCTCCTATATTTCTGTTAAGAACTGATAAACAAGTATATGGTGCACCCAGGAACTGGGACGTATGCCAATACTTGGGCAGGCATAGAGGGAAGTAAGCAAAGCTAGTAAGCGACATTAATAAAAGACGCTTCATCTCCACCCCGGACTTCCTGTCTCTTCATTCCTGATCCAACACTGTCAAAATGGATACAGGAGGAAAATAGACAATTGTCTGAGCTAGTATCTGATGTGGCAAATGACTCAATAAGCTGCAGTGTTCATCACAAATGTGCAAGGAAAACAACAGATAAAAAATTACACTGTTGTAAGGACAAAATCCTTCCCCAGTATATGTTTCATAAAAACTACAGTTGCATGGCCAGTACAAAATATGGCCTTACATCAAATCACCTGCCAAAATGTTCATTTTGTCCCCTGGTATCACATTTGCAACACCACTGAGTGTGGTTTCTGGATGAGCATGGAATAAAAATACTGTGCAACCACAAAAAGACTCACGATTGCAAGCAGCGCTCTGAGCATGTTCAGTTAGCTTATCTCGGGTGAGAGCTTCGGAGCAGAGAGGACACTGGGTGAAATCTGCCCTCCGCTCACACTCAGTCAGCAAGTGCTCTGTCAGGCTCGCAATCTCCACCACCTAACGAACGCACAAACATGCTATATTAGCACACTTTGCAAACTGAGTTAAATGTAGTTTAACCAATATGAATTATTTTGAAATATGACAGCACATGTGCTTGGGTATGTGTGCACCTGTCTGCACTGAAGGCAGCGCTGCAGCATCGGGCAGTGTTTCCAGTAGTGCAGGTCGAGTCCATCCTCAGTAAACGACTCATCTCTCTCTCCACAGAAAATACACAGACTAGACAAAACAGCACCAGCATCAACTCTTATCTGATCTTTCATTTCTCACTCAACATGCATAAGCTTTACTAATTTTTTCCCAGCAGTACAAAAATAAACTCATTAAATGAGAGCCCATTAGCACTGCACATTATGCTATCAATTTCCAGATGTCTTGGTGAGATAATATTAGTGTATTTATAACAGCTACACAAGACTTGACTTTGCAGAGTTGGCACTGAATCAGAAATTCATCAATTGAGATTGCACTGACTGGGAGAATCACAAACTGCCCAGTTGAGGGAATCAATGAAGAAGTGTCAAGAAGTAGTCCTTACTTGTCTAAGTAGTTAGTTACAGATGGTTGGCTTCCTTTCGCATCAGCAGGAACAGACTGGTTTACCTTCTTAACACCTGCTGAAACCAAGGGAAACATAATTAACCATCACATTCTGCTCAGACTGAATTTCCTGTTTGAGGTTTGCAATGATGTTCCAGTGCTATTTTAGTATTACTTATATTATGGTATTTATTCATATTTGAATGAGCTTTTTCATTTTAAGTTTAAGTGATTTCAAAATTAACAATCATCCTGATGGTTCAATGTTAAATATATATTTTCAAGCCATTAAATTGGCCTCTCTCGGTTACCAAACAGAAACTGAGGGTTAATGTTGATGTGTAGGCTGCACAAACAGGGAAGTTTGTTGAGCTACTGGCAAATAAGATGGTAATTTGAGGAAGTGCAATGCGATGCATGCTTTAGAGAGAATAAAGAAAAAATAATGGTCTGGTTCTCACTGTTTTTATCATTTGACTAAAGTGACAAGTGAATACAAAGAAGGGCATACATACATCCAGCTAAAAGACAGATATGAAGATATACTGTATGTGACCATGGCCTAAAACTAACTTTTTGCCAGAAAAGACCTGCCAATGGTCGGTGACTTAAGGAAATTTACCGGCCAGAAATATTTTTTACCAGCCATGGAAAAAAAAAAACAGGCAGTTATGACACCAGCATTTTATATAATAGACAAAAAAGTCACAAAACTTGATTCCAATTTCAATACTGCTAAAACTACTAGCTTAACCAATAAAAATTTAATAGGCTACATTTTTAAAGACTAGTAAATAGTCAGTTGTAAAATAAGAGCAAATCAAATTACAAGCAATAGCACAAAATAGCCAACAAAGATGCAAATAGAAATGGTGCATTTCAGGCAGGTCTAACAGTGATTTTCAGGTAGCCTACAGAAATGTAATAAATTATGCTAATCAAATAACACTATAGTCTTTATATCTTTTTTTAAAGTTCAAGAGCAGTGAGTGATTGTTTTTTTTCTTTGTCCTGTTTTCTTTGATCAGCATTAAAAACGCAGACAACAGCAGGATTATTGGAATTCTGTGTCTATCACTTTAACACCGTGTCTACACCACGGCAGCTTGAAGTTGTCAACACTGGATGCGACAAAACGGCCGTTGCTTGGAATATTTCAGAAACAGAACGGGGAATCCATTTACTTTTGGCAATTTGTCGTGTCGCGCTGCGCCACATCCTGTGTAGACAATATATCACTGATTATAATGGGTTCTATTGTCTTGTGACACATTGAGTCGCGCACGGTTCATGTTCGTTTTATTTCTCAGCTGTTCGTGTTCACTTAAAAACCAACTACTTTACTCGGATACTCACAGAGATGGGCATTTTTGACATAATTGTGTGTATATTTGTCTGTTTAAGCGCAGGAAGGAAGCAGAGCTCAAGACGCGGCTTTCAGGCCAGGGCTTCGGATGTTTAAACTCCCCACTCAGCGCGAGTGTGTCCTTTTGTGTGTTCTAGCTCTTAAAGGGTCATATGATGCGATTTCATTTTTTCCTTTCTCTTTGGAGTGTTACAAGCTCTTGGTGCATAAAGAAGATCTGTAAATTTGCAAAGACTAAAGTCTCAAATCCAAAGAGATATTCTTTATAAAAGTTAAGCGTTAACCACGCCTACCTAAAACGGCTCGTTCGAACACGCCCTCACATATCTACCTCACTATGTGGGAAGATTTGCATAACGCCGCCCAAATGTTCACGCAAAGAAAGAAGGCGTAACTTTTATTCTCGCTGTAGTATTGTTGTCTCTGCCGTCATGTCGTGAAGGCGCTGTGTGTTTCGTTGTGAAAGCGAAACTACTTTGTTTGGTCTTCCAAAAGAGGACGATATCCGCTTCGTCATGCCTAGAGCTGATCCGTACTGGTTGCCGAGGGAATACATAAACTTAGTGCTGTGGATACATTGCAAAGGCTTAAACTTTTGTGATGAAGCAGCACTAACCCGTCAATTGTACAGAGCATTGTTCACGTTTATGTTCTCACAACATTGCACTGTTAGAATTTATAAAAATGTTACCGGCCATCTGGCGACTGACACAGTTTCATATACTCGCCAAAGCCGAGTATATATATATTTTTACTCGCATTTGGCGCTTGGCGAGTGTTAATTTTAGGCCCTGTATGTGACATTTAACAATACTGATTTTGTTTATTAATTGCTTATTTGAATTACTAGTTCTGGGGAGATACAGCTTAATTAACCTTGATGAAAAATTTAAATTATTGGATAATTTGTCATAATAATAATAATAAGCAGTGAAGCAATTTACATTTTTTATAATTAATTTATAATATATATGAAAAAAGACTGTGCTGAAGTACTTACAATTAATTTAATGAATAAAATCATTACTAGTCAAGTTTTCATTTCAAGAATTTCTTAAGTTTCTTCAATTAACTTTTTTTTTTCATTATGATATTAAGACAGAAAAAATATGAATTTTAGTTGTGAAATGAACAATGACATTAATAACATTCTCTTTATAGAAAGGGTGTATTTAAGCTATTGTATGCATGAATTGCATTTTTTAATAAGTTAATAGATCCAGACAAAAAAATGGCATTTTAAAATGACATGTCATATCATTAGCCGGGTTTCCATCCAAAGTTGCAAAACTTAGGCGCAAAATTGAAATATTGCATAAAACATTTGCAAATAAGCTCAAAGACAACAAAATTGTCACTTTCTGATAAACTGGGACTATAAATCACTAAGAAAAGTAGGAGAAGCCACTGAATATAATAATTTTCAAATATAATAAATTACTTGCACTTCAGAACTAGTAGACGAAACAAAGTAATGCGGTCATTGCTTTCGGAGGTGGATGCCTGCTGTTTGGGAATGCAGTTCTGGGAGGCAATTATACAGAAGTACTTGATGACAGACTTTGTGCAGGCATTTCAAAAATGGCCATAACAACATTTCAGATGCTATGGAACGAGATTGGTCCGCTGGTTAGTGAAGTTATCCCATCCCATAGTGCAAAGTCACACTTTTTTGATGCGCATGGAGGAATTTATTCGGCAAATGCGTTTCTCCATATCCCATTATTTGCATTAATCCTTTTTTGCAAAAGTCAAAAACTTTTTTGCGAATTGAAGGATTTTTATTCAAAATTTGGCGCTTCCATCACTGATCATGCGATATGTCAGAATGCACATAAAAACAGGCTGATGGAAACATAGCTTTTTTGTCTCAAAAACGACAGAATTCTCAATCCAGTCTGAATGAATGAAATCACAGACTATAGTAATAATTATAACTCCAGCATCATTTCGAAAACGAATCGTATCCAAATAGTGTTGTTGTGTTAATTGTGCGCTGCATCTTATGAAATAAATATGATCGTGTCGACATGACGTAAGGGCATTGCTACTCGTCGTTCTTTCTCAGCGCTTATTGCATGATGTGTCTTCATTGGTGACACTCGTTGGTTCTGAGATTGATCGCTTGAGCTGTCTTACAGCGAGGCTTTGTGGTTCTCTTCATGTGTGAAGCTCTGGAATTCTGCCCAGCCATCCCACTCAGCTTCCACTGCTCTTCCAGACAGACTGTCTGGTCCTCTAGGCACACAACTCCATCTAATCAATAAAAAGGCAGGCTTTCCTCTTAAAAATGCCATGCACATGCACATTGTCTCTGCAGTGGCTTCTGTCTGTAATTATTCAAATGAACCAAGAGGAATTCTTGTAATGTGGCACAACCTTCATTTAGCCCCATTTCACACTCCAGAGAGTATAATACAGCTTGACCTTAAGAGGTCAGGATCTGTACGCAGGTGCTATTGTTAGCTGTTGGATGCGTATAGCTGCATAAACTCTTCAAGTGGAGGTCTTTCCCTCATTGTGTGTGTATTTAGATGATACACAGGGCTTTGATCTACGGACGTCAGGGTTGTTTTGTGCTTGCCCTGTGAAGTACACATATGGCCATGGCACAGTAATCCTTAGTTTATATGCAGACACTGAGACACACAATTGGCTCTTCACAGCACTAGTGTAAAACTGCATTTGTTTGTCTGTATGCACATAATACAGAAGCATGCAGTCTCACATTTATGAATATGATCGAGCTCCCTTTTTCTAACTTATACTTTCTCTCTCTCTGTATTAATTATTTTTGCAGTTAACACTGATACAGAAACAGCAGTGGTGAATGTGACATATTCAACAAAAGAAGAGGCTAAAATGTAAGAATCTAAGTATGAAGGTTTATTGGGGATGGACAGTATGACCAAAATCATATATAAATAGAAATATTTAAACTAATAAAAAATTAAAGCATGAAGCAAAATGACAAACTTAAGCTACGATTAAAATGAAAACTGAATATACAAAAAAGTCAAAATATTATAAATACTATAATAGTAAATAAATAATATATTAATATAACACTGGCATACAATTGTATACTATTACTAAACATAAATATGTAAAAATAAATTGCTCGTTATTTAAGTAATTACAAGTAACTAATTACTTTTTTGTCACATTAATAATATATATATATATATATATATATATATATATATATATATATATATATATATAT